CAGACAGGCCACCCGCTCCTCGCAGCACCCCGAGGACCCCTCCGAGGCCTCCCCACACGCCGGCGAGCAGGCACCCTGCCGAGGGAGGGACACGTGGCACCCGCTGCACACGCCGGGGACACCTCAGGGACAGGGGGACACGGGAACAGACAGAGATGGAGACATGGGGACACCACGGGGACATGGGAACGTGGGGACAGGGAGACATGGAGACACCATGAAGAAATGGGAACACCATGGGGACACCATGGGGACACCATGGGGAAGTGGGGACTCAGGGACATGGGGATAGAGACATCGGGACACCATGAGGACATGGGAACACCATGAGGACATGCGGACTCAAGGACATGGGGACACCATGGAGACATGGGGAAACCACAGAGACATGGGGACTCAAGGACATGGGGACACAGAGATTTGGGGACACCATAAGGACATGGGGACACCACGGGGACACCACGGAGACATGGGGACTCAAGGACATGGGGACACAGAGACTTGGGGACACCAGAAGGGCATGGGGACACCGTAAGGACATGGGGACACCATGGGGACAGAGCCATCTCATGGGTTTGGGGTGGTTTTGGGGGGGTTGGCACCAAAATCCTGTTCTTCAACTGGGTGACCCCATCCTCGTCCCCAAGAGCCTGGGGTCCCCATGTCCCCTCCCCTGTGGGGGTGATGGGGGGGACCTGGGTGACAGGGGGTCTGGGGGACCTGGGACAGTCTGGAGATGGGATACTGGTTGCTATGGGACAGGCTGGACTGGGAGCACTGGGACATCCTGAACTGGTGACTCTGGAAGAGCCTGTAGGAGGGGCACAGGGTCAGCCAGGACTGGGGACACTGGTGACCATGGAACAGCCTCTACTGGGATTACTGGTGGCCATGGGACATCCTATACTGGCGACACTGGTCACCATAGCTCAGCCTATGCTGGGGATACCCAGTCACCATAGCCCAGTCTATACTGGGGACACTGGTGATCATGGGACAGCCAATACAAGGGACACTGGTCACCATAGCCCATTCTATACTGGGGATACTGGTCACCATGGGACAGCCTATACTGGAGAAACTGGTCACCATACCCCGGTGTATACAGAGGACACCAGTGACGCTAGCTCAACCCATCATGGGGACACTGGTCACCGCAGCCCAGCCTATACTGGGGATACTGGTCACCATAGCCCAGCCTATACTGGAGATACTGGTGACAATGGGATAGCCTATACTGGGGATACCCAATCACCATAGCAGAGCCTATACTGGCGACACTGGTCACCATAGCCCAGTGTATACTGGTGATAATGTGACAGCCTACACTGGGGACACTGGTGACCCTAGCCCAACCTATACTGGGGATACCCAGTCACCATAGCCCAGCCTATACTGGGGATACTG